TTGCGTAATTTTTATTGAAATTTTCGATTAATAAAAATATGTGCAAATAATTTATGTATCATTTATATATATCGGTGTATTCCATATTGATCAATAATATATTCTTACATAAACCATTGGTCATGCAATTCGCTTATGTAATCGGTGGAGGAATGACGCGTGCGCTAATTTTTGGCGGGAGTTTTGAAAAACGAAAGTCAAGATGTTATAACTTCTGACTAATAGTTAATAAAAATGAAAAAAAAAGTGGATAAAATAGGGAATGGTGTGTGGTATCGCGCAAAAGCCGAAGAGCACGGTGGAGTTATAGTCACCATGGCAACGTGGCCAAGGCGGGAATGCGACGGTAACCATGGCAGCCGTGGATTTCTCTCGGCCCAACCTGTCCGTCCTCTTCCAGTCTCTTTTTCTCTTCTCCTCCTCTCTTTTACCTCCTCACCATTGAGCTCTGCGCACACACATGCACTCATCTTTCTCACCGGTTCCCTCAGCTTCTCTTCCTTCCGCCCACTGGATATCCAACCGTCCGAAGAACTGCACCTCATTTTCGCGGACTTTTTTCATCTCATTTCTACTCCTTTCGATTTCCTCTCATATCAACAAAAAAAATTTTCAAATTCCAATTATTGTGAAAGCAAATATTCAAATCCCAATTATTCACGGATAAAAACATGACGGGAGTAAAATAGTAAAAGAAAGATTCGCAATAGTGATTACTATAGTAGTGGAACATGGAACAATAAATAAATAGCGCCCTGAATGAATTACTATTTGATATAGTTAGCGTAACACTATGATCTGTAGCAATGATAATTTTTTCATGTCCCATTACTATGGAAATGATTACCATGCCGCATAATAGTAATGGAACATTACGGAATGTTATTAAAACCCTATAACTATGCTGCATAGTTATTATCGCAGTATTTCGTTCGTATAGAAGAATTACTAGTGACCCATAGTAATTATAGTCATAGTCCAAAATAATAGTAGTACATAGTGCTATAGTGCATAATGCTATATACTAATGTCCCATGACCTTGGAGAGAGACATAGTAATTGAATAATATTAACCCATAACTATGTCGACTGCTTATTAATGCCCAATTCCATTACTATGGAGACATTGATAGTTGAGCAGAGTAATTATTACCATGTTCCATAATAATAGTAGTACTTTTGTTATGTTCCACTACTATGGAACTATTACCGTGTCGCCTAGGAAGGTTGATCAGATTCTATTGAATATAGTAATTATTGTCATCTTTCCGATTTTGAGGTTCTCATATTTCATAACTATGAATACCATTGCCGTACGGGATAGTAATGCTAGGAAGGCGTAAAATACGTTTCGATCATTTTGTCATGGTAAATGTGCGGTGAAAGGTAATCAATCAGTATGAATCGATGGTGAGTCGTAAATCAAATCGATTAAGTGGAGTTAACTAGATGAATTTAATTCATTGCAATGCGTGCCCTCAATTATGATATATCCATCTACCGAAATGGCGGACGTAACCTTTGATTTAATTATTCAGGCATTTTCTGTGCTTGGGTGAAGACCATATTGCGTAATAGTTGTGGTATTCCATATCTAGGTACCTGAGTGAAATATAACTGCTCGGCGTTGGAATTTTCTGCACAATAAAACGCAAAAACAAATTCATCGAGTTGGAATCCTCCATTTTTCTTGGGAACACGTGGCATCTGATTATGAAAATTCGGTTCTTTTATTTATCCCGATATCAACGCGAATGTCTCAATCCGAAATGAGAGTAAATGGGTTAATTACCGGTTGATATTACTCAGTAATATTTTTCTATTTACTTCATCCTCCATTAAAAACGATCGAAAACCGATCTTTAAAAACATAATTTGATTGTACACAAATTAACAGTTCGTAGGACTGAAGAAGTATCAACCTAACAATTAGTTTGAAAAAAAAAACCAATCAATTAAATGCAGAATTAATTGATTAATCATTTATTATGAAATTTTGACGATTTAATTGTAATCGCAACAGGTATTTGTGCAAATCAAACATATATTCGCTTGAATAATAATTATTTTCCGCGGGGAGGAATGAAGAAAAATTGGATAAATGACCTTATTAGCCCTCATTCCTCGGTGGGAGTGTCGGAGACCCTCAGGATCTTGAACCCTCGATGAAAAACCTCTTGTTGAACTCGAGATTAGATTTTGGAAAAACAAATTAGGGCTGAACCGCAAACAAATTCGTTGAAATTTACTGGAGAAGGCAACATCTCTGATCTCGTTACCATACACATACATTTAGCATGCGCCATTATATCCCTACCACTTGAGTATGAAAGAGTATAGTGGGAGGAGGAGGTGTTTCACACACATGGATATCCCTCGGTTTTTCGTGAATTGCAAACACACCCGCACCGTAAACCAACGTCCGAGGTCCTCACCCTCAGAGTGGTAGCGTAATGTAAGGGTTGGACGAGAGGGAAAACTCGTTTTCGTTCGGAGGGTGGGTTAAAACGTAGACTGAGTGAGTGAGAAAGATAGAATTGTGAGTTTAAAATCCCTCGGGGCTTGAGGTCCATGCTGGGGCCCCCACGTTTCAGATTTATCGGATGTTTTGGTTGGCGGCCATTGTTAACCCGCCCTCTCATTCTCCTTTCTTTCGGTCCCGTGTAAATCCAACCGTTTATTCATTTTTTTCAACTATTTCCGAGCTTTTATTTTTATTTTCATTTTTACTTAAAAATGCGACAGATTGCCAGGTTCTATCTTTCAATCTTCATCTAGGTCTTCATCGGGGCTAGGGGCTAGGTCCGATCCTGTTCAGGATTCCCCGATCAGAAATCTGGGATAAGGATTCAGTTAGGTTTGCAACAGAATATATGGATCAGGTATTAATCGGGTACTTCTGATCAAAACACGTGAGATCAGTCTGATAACATCTGGTCAGGTTCACAATACTTGACCTTGATCCTGATAAGCGGCGGTAGGGTATATTTATCAGGATCAGGATTAGTATTTTGATTAGGCATGGAACCCAGCGAGCGGTGAACAATCGATTCCAAACCACGAACTGTCAGGATCAGGATCAAGGATCAGGTTTTACTGACCAGTTCCTCAATGATAAGACTCAGGTCTTGTGTCATTGGATGGAGCGGGAAATTTTTGAAGTGCTAACATGAAAATTAACATGTCTAATAGCAAATTTCTTTTCTCTACTTATAATAATAATAAATTTAGTTAATTATTTTTAAATAATAATAAATTTATTCTAACTTATAATAATAATAAATTTCACTTCACGAATTTTTAGGATCATGGTAACTTATAAAAAAACTTGAATTGAATATATTTCATACTTGATTCTAATATATTCAATTTTCAATGCGATATCGATAAAAAATTGATTTTCTTAGGATTCTATATTATGTTCTAGGAATAAATTAACCAATGCAAAAACCTTTACTTTCCATATGTACTCGCTTTCTTATACATACCGTATATAATACTTAAATCAATTATATTACTTTTCCGTGTGAACAAAAAAAACTAAAACTGCAAAGTAATAGATCTCCTATTTTGCCAACTTTTCCCCGACTTTCCAAGTCAGC